TGGTTGATTCACCACGGTTTAGATTTTAGTTACCAGAGATTACCCACCTCCCCTCCCCTTCGCACTGAGTTTCTAGCATCGTTTAAGTGGTCACCTTTTATGTGCACTCTTGCTTGTAGAAGTTAATTTTGAGGCCCAGATACCTAAGCATCTGAAGACATCTTGGTTCAGAAAAGATGATAAAAGATGTAAGAGAAGATCCGTAGTTCTGTGACACTCAGATGAGTCAGCCGCAGGCGAGCAGCAGTCCCAGTCCCGGTAAGATACATTTGAAAGGACCTTTGATTTTCTAGCTGTAAATTTAGGGGAACTGTGATTGCTTTGCAGTCAGTCCTTGACAAGAATAAGACCTATAGTCTTAAATAAATTACTTGCTAGCACCTTCAAAGTAGCCTCCATCGGAAGGGGCAACCCCGGCAGTGCCACATTTATGATGGCCTTGCTTTTGATTGCAGGTTTTCTGCGCTCATTTTACCAGGATCCTCTGTCATCATTGCATTTCCTGAGCTTTCCTCCCCCGATTTACTTTTTTGATCCAATGTGTCTCGACTTCTTTTCACAGGTGCTGCTTATGCTGCAATTTGAACAAACTGGCAAACACACATTTGCTGGATTAGGGTAAGAAAGGGTTTGTTAGATTCCTGGCTGCTCACATGTGGGCCAGATTGAAGGCAACCACAGAAACAAAAAACCAGTGGTAAATCGAGCTTCTTGCATCTTTTGAACGTCTTTGAAATGCAACTTGTTCTCCTTTTACCTTCATAGTTCAGCTAATACTGAACTCTGGAACGGGTCTCCTTGTTCAGGTACAGCCTGGCTCCTGTCTGACAGCAATATGCTCCACAGGTTTTATACCCCCACTCTTCCCATTCAGTCCAGAACTGGTATAAATGTCCCTAAACTGGCTGCTGATCTATTTTTTTTGCTCTATTGGGAACTACAGGAACAAAAAGTTGTACTATTTAGTTTCCCTGCAAGCTTCTTAGTGCTGCTTATCTCTGGAAAGGGTTTGACCTTTTACTGCTTTGAGGAGAAGACACAGAGGGGGAAGTAATGTCATTTGTGCCATTAGTAGCACTGCTGATTTTCTGAAGTTGACAGCCCAAGGCTAGGTGAGAATTGATGAAGCGGACAGCCCAAGAGTAGGTGAGGAGGCCTTTTTTTTATTTTACATTTTATAGGAACTGTGCAAGGTATAGAGAACAACAGAAATATCTGCATAGTATCTGGCTAGCAGGCCTTACTCAAGTCATTTACTTCAAGTATACTTGATGTTGCTGTACAGGGAGCCCAGTCATCATTTGGTAGCTAACTTTCTCTTTTGTGATCTCATTTTAACTTGTAACTGTGAAAATGAGAGAGTTTTGCTCAATCCTACCAGTTTGTTCCGAAGCCAGTGGTGACTGCATGTGGTATCGAGCAACACAACAGCACATCAGGAAAAATAAATGAGATGGCTTTGTGGTGTCAGCTTGTGAAGAAATGAGATTAAATGTTTTTTCCATGTGCTGAATGAGCCCAGACAAAATCTGTCTAGATACTAGCCTCACTACAACCTGCTTGTGTCATTTTTGGAGGAGTGAACAGTCTGGTTTATGGCAAATATTCAACCATGATACACACTGGAAAATACTCCCTATTCTCAGAATAAAATTCTTCATAGTTAGATAAGACAGAGTGGAAGTCCTTTGGTAGATTCTTCCAGACTAGCAAAGCATGTCGGCTGCGATTTTATATAGCACTAATATTATTTTTCTTAGGTTCTAACTCTTCTTGAATCAGAACTAAATGAATAAACCCCAATAAAAGGAGAATTCAAAAAATCAAGTGCCTGTTCCAGGTGACCTCATATGTTGGAGAGCGAGTTCTGGGTGATTGTGGGTTACTGGAAATCTATTCTGGGTGGAAGTACATGTGATTTTTTTTTCCAGGGCTGGGATGCCTCTAGCTTCTACTAAGTTGATTTCAGGTGAATACACATTATTTAAGCCTTGAAGTTTTAGTTCACAGGAAATTCAGATTGTTACTTTCTAATAAAAAAAAAAAAACTACAAACAAAACCCCCCTCCAAAACCTTCAAAATAACAACAACAAACCACAACAAAAAAACAAACAACAAAACCTTCCTGTTATTCCAGGGAGGATTATCCATGTGTAAAATGTGCGTTTTTCTGTCTCTGACCTACCCACGTTCCTGTGAATTTCATTTACCATCACACCACTGTTAGAAGGGAGAGACAGCATTTTCTGTAAACAGCAGCCTGTAAGTCTCATTTTCAACCCTGAAAATATCACAGTGGTTTAAGTATAGCAAATTGAGCATGAAGAAGCTTTCAGGATAAGCTTTATGTGAAGATCCTCACAGCCTCCTTGGGGGGAAAAAAGGCAGTCTAAAGAAGGTAGCCTTTTTTTTTTAAACATACAGGCAACAATTCTTGAGTTTTCATTCACAACAACTTCTCAAACATTAAGTACATTAATGCCCCTAAAACTGCTTATTCCGTGGCTCTGTGCCAAGTACTAGCAGGACACTTCATTCCCTGCACGGACTGAAAGCACCACCCGTTCTCACTGTCTCTCTCCGGCCACAATCGCTGGTCTCAGACGTGTTTTTACTAACGAGACTGTGGAACTGGTAAGCAGAGAGCTTTCCCACCCTTCCCTCCTCCCAAGCATCCGACAAGCCACGGTTTCAGGGTGGCCACACCCTGCTTGTTATTGTTGAATCCAAATATTAAAGGTGGGTTCTTTGATATTTTCCTTAGCCTTTCACCTTTATTTAAAACCGAGTGCATTCAAGGGACATCTGTGTTGCTGGCAACAACATCACATGAAGGAGCTTTCTATAAATAACATCACGATTAAATAAACGGCTGGAGCACAGCACTTACTCGCACGACGAAGTCAGCATTGTATTATTTATTCTTGGTAGATCGGACTGTTAGGGGAGTAAAGTACCCATTTATTTTCATTTTGAAGCCAAATGTTTAGGGTGCAAGTAAAATAGAAAAGGAAGATTCATCGCCACAGTTGCTAAGTTTCCTAGGTGACACTGGCAAAACGGCTAACATCCGAATTGAAAAAGTGGCTCCTGAATTTTGGCACTTACGATTTTTAAATGTCATTTTTGAAAGTGTGGTTTCTAGCCTCTCTTATCTCAGCATTTTTCAGCTGTAAAATGGGGTTAATAACACATAAGTAGTTCACAAAATTATGATGATGGTTAAAACATACATGTGAGTAAAATACGTTATGTTTCTCCGAATGAGTCACTACAATAGACAGAATTTATTTCAATTTGAGATGCTTGGCATGTGAAGGAGCAAGGTAAATACTAGATCATTTTCTTCTGTTTTCACAGCCTGGGGGGAGGGGGAGGGAAGTGAGCTCTATAAAACACTGGCCAGACTCTCAAAGAGCCACAGAGTATGGCTCTATCCAAGTATACACTCACAGCATGATGAAGACATGCCCCAAACCAGTCCTAAACTGTCTTGCTAAGGGTTGGTCAAGGACTAGGCAAAGCTCGGAGCTAGGCAAAGCTCTGATTCAGTAAATTAGCCGGACAAACTCCTTACCTCCAGCTCACAACTCTTAAATAAGATAACTAGGGCAAACCTAGATTGAATGTTCCTGCTCTGAAGAAATGACTGCAGTGAAGACAATCTAATTTAAGCAAATAACATGATAAAAATTGTCTGAGATAAACAGGGACAAGACAAAAGGACATTAGAAGGCATAGGAACTGGTAATAGACATGATTTCACCAAAAGGGCCCAATAGCAGCAAAGAGATTAGGGAAGAAAAGTTAGAATTGATTAGAATAAAATATTGTTTTCCTACTCCCAAACGTCCTGCGGAATGCAATGAACATGTTAAAAGAAAATTTTCCTTTTTCTCTTTTCCTTTTGCCATTACACGAGGGAGTTAAAAGAGCTGCGTAAGCCACACATCAGCCGGTATTAAGTACACAGACCCCCCAAGCATAATGTCCACAGTCTACATTACATGTCTACTTAATGCTAGAGGTTTAACAGCTATACGACACTCCTTTGAGGGAGAAACCAATTCAGCTGAAAGTCGAGAGCATTTTGTTACAAGATTTGTATGTGAACAGGCCTTGGAAATACACATTTTCAGGTACAGATGCCTGTTTGATTCCAAGTAAATCATAGACTCCAGAAAGCAAGCTACGTGGTTTCTGAAGAATACATGGATAATAAGGTTATCTAAGTCTTTTTATGCTCCAAGCTTTTCAAAGCAAGCCCAAAATACTCACCAGTTTTCTCACTTTTTTCTTTGCAAAGCACTCAAATAACATCTCTCTTAGAATAAATTCGCATAGAAAAACCTAAGAAATCAGGAGTGAACAAAGAACAAAACAAGAAGTTATCTTTTTGCCATCGTAGAAATACATGACTCATCCACATCCAAAACGCAGTTTTGGTCCCTTCATTTTAAGAAAGATATGTTAGAACTGGCAAATATTCCAAGCAAAGTGACAAGGATGATTAAAGGTTTGTAAGAGCTTTCATATACAAAATCACTAGGCAGGCTGGGAGCCTCCAGAACGAATAAAGCGGAGAAGGCTGCAAAATCGTTAATGACGTAAAGGGCTTTCGATGAAGAATGACTGTTTACTGTCTCTTTCAACACAAGAACCAGGCATAAACAAATGGGGATGCAAAGAGCCAGGTTCAGAAGTGGAGATTTTCTTCATGCAACAGGCAATAGTGAAACTGATTTTTAAAGGACATCATGGATGTAAGAAATCTACGTGAGTTTGTGACAAGTTTGAATAGATACACGGAAAATAAATCCTTTAGGGTTTGTTCCTCAACAGACAAACCAGCACAGGTTCGGGAAACCCACTCAACTGCAAATAGCTGAGACAGCAGTGTACATGGCAGAAGTACCATATGTTCTTGCTCTGCTCTTACTCTTCCCTGACACTCTTTTTTTCAACAGGTCTCCACTGGCAACACTGGACATGCTGAAGTTCAGTGATACAGCTCCTGAAGTAGAATGTTCTCAACCCTCCTGGATTTCTCCAGCTGCTTCAACTCTTCATGCGATTTACTGTCTACCCCATTGGCCATGAGTTTGTTGTTTCTGCTATCCTTGCCATCCTTCTGCCTGATGAGGTGCACTCCAGGGATCGTGTGCTGCCGGGAGTTCTGCCGATCCGTGAAGGTATGCTGCTCCTTATCTTCTCTCAGCTCCCCTGCTCTGTCGGCAAGGTCAATCTTCTTTCCTCAGTGCCACGTGTGTCCAACACTGGCCCACAACCTTGGATGGCAAAAGGATTTTGTGCCAGCCGTTGGTACTGCTGTTTGGCACATCCAGGAATTGTGACAGGTTTGTCTGTACATCTCCACGTTTGCAGACAGGATGTTGGACTAGATGGACTCATGGGCTGTAAGGCCATTCTTATTTGCTAAGGAAAGTCAATCATGTGTCACTTTCCCCCAAAAAAGTGCACACACAAAAATGCTGTACCAGCACAAGTTCGTGAATGAATGGATTCCAAATAAAGAATTAAGACTATAGCTGCAATACTCAGTTAATGACTGATATTTGGTACATTGCTCATGTGCCTATTGTGGAAACATGGAATTAGCTCTTTATGGGTCAAATATATTGCAAAGGAACCTTTTCTTCTGGGCCAATGACTGGAATAATACCACATGTCGTTAAGTGGAAGTGATATTTGTATTATTTTGCAGGACTGATTGTGCTTGTGGGTATCTTTTATTGAGATGCAGCATTAAAATATTGAAGGCTGAAATCAATAAGTTTGGAGGAATAAAGTCGCCAAGTAAAACAAAACAGAATTAAATGTACATTTCCACCGTAGAGCTCCCAATCTTTGGTACATGAGCCTGAGGAGAGGAGTGTGCAGGTTAGGTCTAACAGAGACTTGTTTTCTTTGGCCAGTACGCAGCTAATCATTTTGTAACTTGGCTCTTGTTTCAGCTATCACATTCTATATGACTGCCCTTTTGTCCCTCTCTTTTAAGTTTTTTGAGTTTCTTTAATGTACAGCAAGGTCTTTTAATTCAATATCAGTTCCTTGCGTAGAATAAGAAGGCGATCCACTGTGCACTATATTAGAGGGAAGCCAATTATTTTTGGTAACAACTCAACACCTAAGGGTTCAAATCCACCCTGCACTCATGTTGCTTACCCTATCCTTGCCTCTCTCAAGCCATATGGATTTTTGATTACAGTGCAACCACAGACTTGCATAATAAATCAGTCACTACAGTAAAAAAAAAAAAGCAGTAATGACACATTCAGATGTGTAACTTGTGGCATTTAGCCATGAGTTATGAGGGTCTATGGGGAGCTGCAATATCCCAGGGAGGGAGGGTGGAGCAGACACCATCTCTTCCAGAACAGCCTCACAGGGCTGAGGACAGAGAGACTTGCACCCTGGTTTAAGTTACGCTGACTGTCAACTTGTTAACTGGCATGACTGCAAAACTGATTTAGAGGCACTCAGCAAAATGACTGTCTGGGAGCAAACTTTATGATTTACCTCAGGCTGAGAGTATGAGCTCTGGCTGTGATAGACTCTTGCAAACTCCTCTGAGGCACTGGGCTGTGGCAAGAAGCTGGTTCTCCTTACCCTCTCCCAGAGCCGTACATTCTCCAGCACGCTGGTCTTCTCAGGGGCTTCAGCGGGATGAGTCTCCAGCGCTAGCTATGAAAAGAAAGTGCCAATCGTTTCACAATCTGCCTCTCAAATGACAGTTACCCTTTGATTCTTTTGAGCCCCTGGTTTGCTGACTCCTGGCGCCCTACAGACTCAGGCTGGAGGCAAGGCAGTGTCCTATCATGGGAGATCAATTGCCCAGACGCACAGTATTATTGTCCACATTTAATTTCTAATAGCTACCCACTAGACAAAAATCAATACAGCCACACAAAAAGACCCAAGACATTTGTATAACACCTTTAGCCTTCCACCCGGGTTCCATATGGTATTCCAATGACTGGTCTGGATTCATAGGCTACTACCTAATAGCTTCACACCTACCACACCTATAAAAACCAGTAACAGGGCTGTAACTAAGCGTGTCATGTAAGCAGGTTGATTAATTCATTCAAAGCACTGTGGCTGTCTAAAATGCAACCTAAACACCATATTTCATTTACAGCTCAGTGCCTGTTCTAAAGGCAAATGCTGCAATACCTCAGATATGCCACAGCTAAATATGCTAACACTACTGGACTGTCGCATAATAGGTCGAGAGATGCCACATTTCTTGAGACACATCATCAAGCGGGAAGGTTTTAGCCAATATATCACATGGGAAAGAATATGAATATGCAGAACAATTTAAAAAAAACCCAAACAAACCAGCATTGCAGTTTTAGGAGAAATCCACTAAGTTATACATTTCATAACTGGAGAACTGTCATGCTTTACCAGTGTACGGTAGAAACCAAGATATTTAGGAGTTAAAAGAGCAGTTCAGACCTCTCAAACTATAATTAGAGTTCATAAAACTTGCTGCAGTTCATGGACCTGTTTCTTCCATCAGTTAAATTCATATTACTTTCAAAGAATGACTCCCTTTTCTTAGTTTTAATAACCCTGGTTTTCTACTAACTGAACTTCCATTGAAACCGAGCAGTCTCTAAAAGCAGACTGGCACAGATACTTATTTGCATTGAAATTTTCATTTTCCCACTTTGCTCCTCCACACACAGGCTTCTCTTGATTCATTTTTTTCTTTCACTCTTACTTGGCTCTGTCTGCATTTTCATTGATTTTTTTTTTCCCCTTTTTTGCCATCTCTCTGAAACATAATGAAAACATGCTGCAGTAAGGAAGACTTGGAAAAGCATAACAGGATTGCTCATCCCAAATATAAACACATTCCTTTTTCTACGGTTATCTGACACCTCCTTTCTAAAAAAAACCCACATCGAAAGAGAGCACTTGGGAGTGGCTCTCACTGTGGTCCAGTAGCTTTATGTTAAATTGTAATGTCTGACAACTTTACTGCAGAATTAACTTTCTTGTAAACACAGAATGTTCATTTATGTGTTTCTTCATTAATCCACACGCAAATACAGACATATTATTAGGAGCTACCTGTTAACTGAATATAGCTGCTGCTACAATCTCGTGCCAACAAAAATTATGCTAAAAATCAAGTTGAGAAGCCTGGCGTCTTCACGTGGGTTTCTTTAACACAAAACACAGATGGTTGCAACTAGTTCTTCAGACCAAGTGCATCCTGACAGTGGGAATTACATTTTCAATGCACAGTTCAGGAAGTTGACCGCACAACCTGCATTCATAAAGCACACTGTTAGAAAGAGCATTTTGAGGGTTTATAACTTAAAGTAATGAAAACCAGCCTTGGTTGGGGAGCAGGAACAAAATATTACATTCTGCATATATTCTTATTTCTTGATTAAAGATAACAAAGTCAGATTAACATTTGACTACTCTCCTTTTACAATGGTCAGAAGTTTGTCTGAATTTAAGCGAGGTTGCCCAGCCTCTTACAGATCTGATTCCATACAGGAAAGACAGATGTTGCAAAAGGAATCAAGTCATTGCTCTTGACAGGGCAGTCAAGTTGGAATACTGTACCAAAATGCAACAGGAGGACTTTGGCTTTAACAGCAGTCTCAGATTGTTCTAGCTGCAATCACACCTAGCATCAGAAGAAAAGTACACCAATGATGACATTATGCACAGGACAACTTTATTTAACTCACTTACATCAAGTCTGCATTTGACACTCAGAGTCCTAGTGGACAGCATTTCATTACTCGTGTGTATCTGACTCCATTGTCGAAGATTCTCAGGTGACGTCTATCCACAGTGCGTAAAGTACATGTGCTTTATGGCTCACTACAACTTGGAAAACACAAACTGGCTTTGCTGACTATTACATAGCTATTTCTGCCATCTAAATTCTGGACAAACCCCAAAAATTTCACAGCACTGAATCCCAATATGCTTAGAATCAAGTCCTAGCTCCTCCTGGAACTACTGAAAAACATTCTTTCACACAACGGCACACTGAGCTTGGCTAATGCCTGTCAGTCTGTCAAACACAAACCAAAAAGGATTCTCTGAAGAATGACAAAAGATGAACAGTAGTTCCAGTACTGAACAGCAGCAACGTCTGATTTTGCTCCATCTTCCGTTTCTACCACAAGAAAAGGCAAAACCACACTACTGTAACTGCAAAGACTGTTTTCTCTCCCGTCTAAATCCAAGTCTGGCAGAAGGTGAATGAGGTTTTTGGACGATGTCAAAGAGGTGAGTGGGAAGGAAGTGAAAATAGCCACTCTGGCTCATTTGCTGAACTTGCTAGAGGAATGGACAAGAGCCACTTTTTCTCAAACAAGGTGATCCCCTCAAAAAAACTGGCATCTGGAAGCAGATCTGCCAGCAGCCAAGTTAAACACCTGTATGCCAGACAAAACCAGCTGTCTGTGTGTCCCTGCCAGCCCATCTGCTCAATATACCTCCTCCCAGTGGGTTGAGCTCTTTTGGTAAATACACAATTCAAATACAAGGTTGTTTTTTCCCCCCCTGTTCTCTAACCATCCTTAGGACCTCAGTTTTCAAAGCACCCATTGATGAACTACTGTGATCCTACTGCTACTGTCACCAGCAGGCGCTGAAGGAGTTACCATTAAACTCCTGTCCCCTCCTGCCCACAAACACACAAATACTGTGTTGCTCAACCTTTTGCCAGAAGAATTAGAAATTTAGGATAAGATTATATTTTCAAAAAGTTAATCATTCAAAGGATACAAGAATAGATTCTATAAGGGACTAAACAGAAAGCTCTTTTGGCTGCGTCCAGCATTATGTCATGGAAAGAAAGTAAGAGTAGGTTAGCGACTGTTGCAGCAGACATCCATTCCAGAAGGGATTGTAGAGCTGCTGGGCTTGAGGGAGGAAAGGAAAACACACTGAAGTTGCCTTTCATTTCATCCATAGCAGCTCCACAGTTAGACATGCAGCCATTACCGACAATATCAGGCGCTGAATTTGTATCCAGGGGAGAAATGTCACCCCATGCTCCCTTCTCAGCACAGAGGTTTCCAAATCCACCCTCACAAAATGAACCTTTCTTCCAACTCATGACAAGAAATAGGTGGTTCTATTGCTCGCATTAGTGAGCAGCAGGTGCAGAGAACCCCCAGCAACGTCCCACAGAAACAACCTGGTGGGAAGTCTGCCTTAGGAGGCCTGAATGTGCCCCACCGTTTGTCCTAGCACACAGTGGCATTTATTTTCCCCTCGTTGCCTAAAGACCCGCTTTCTCCTTAGTTCCCAGGTCATCTATTTTTGGGGAGTATGTCAACATTTCTTTTGATTCACTGGTTCTTGGTTCATTTAGAAACACTATTTGTAACAACTTCCATCTCTTTTATCCCCCCTTCTGCGCTTTACTGGGTTACTGTTTTGGCGGAGGAGAAGGGGTTAAGTGTGTCCCAAAAGAGCACTGACCAATTTGCATCTGACAGGAATGACTGTGCATTTGAACGGTTCCCAGCAGCTTTGCTCTCTCTTTGCTGGGTGCAGGGGAGCTGTTCTCCACAGTGAACTCTTTCTTCGCTCTTTGTCCAAATACACGATCTGTCCACTCTCAGACTGGTAAAGCTCCGCGAGTGCTACCCAGGATGTGCCTGGCCAGGGAAGCTAATGCAAACCCTCAGCACACTTCGACATTGCGAACATTCCCTTTATATGATGTCACTCTCACTGCTGACGGGGGCTAGGGGGAGAGACACATCTATCTAATTTCAGTTTTTAAAATATATAGGCAAAATATAGAAACTATATGAAAATGGTTCATTTCAGTATATTTCAACGTATTTTCTGGTGCAAAATACATCAGAAGAGGTCAGGTAGAACTACACCCTCACTCCTTTCCCAGCTAGGAATTATTTACCGTAAAGTAAATTTACTGTATATATACTGTAAAATTTGTGGCTCTCCATGAACTGCAGTTTAAACACAGAACTCTACCTTTAGTTTTAAATAAGCTGATGCCATAAATATTTTGGAAGTGCGTAATTGTATTACTTAATTCTACAGCACCTTTCTAAGTAGGCACCTATAATTTAGTTTCAGTGCAAGCTCTGTTAAGTAAGATGGTGTTTTTCATTGTGTCGGGTAGTCTGGAATAATAAGCATATTTTTAGGAATTTATTACAGTCAACTCTTCTACTGATACGGATTTGCATGCCTTTCAGCCTTCCTCATTCCGTTTCTCCAAACGGAATGGGGAAGGAATGCTCACATTTTTCTGAGGGAAGAATTTATACAGTATTTTGAAGTTTCATATGTATTATTTCGTCATTGCATCCTCTTAGCAGAGAATGGGATGCATGTCCCATGGATGGGCACCATCTTTTAGAACTATTAAGAGAAACTGGATCTTCCCATAGGGAGAGGAGGAGGAGGAAGGACGTTACAATTGCTGGTATAGCTTGTCTTCATAGAACCACTCATACCAGCGTGAGCAACGATTCACTGAGCTCAGCCGTGCTAGATGCGAGGCTGGGGGACTGAGGTTCTTACCCACAGAGCTGGATTTCTGTGTGGCTTTGGGTTTTGTTTATTGGTTTTATTGGGAGGGGAGGGGTGTCACCTTCATTTTAGGGCTTGAATTCTATGAAAGCTGGTGCCATATTTTGGGACAGCTACACTATTTCTTCCTCTGGCTTCTCCTCTCTCCCAAGATCGCCCCGCTAAGTAGGGTCACCTCAGGTCCTAGAAGAGATGATGCTGAATGGCTACTTACAGCCAACCACGCTCAGAAAAAGTAGCATCACCTTCATGCTCAGTCTGGCTGTGTATGCTGATGGTTAAGTAGGTGAAACCCCTGTCAACGCCCCCCAGCCACTCCACCGTGAGCTGTGCCCCTTGTACTAAAATCTGTCCTGGCTTTTACATTCCTTTGTCTGTCTGGACATAAACCAGTTTCTTTTCTTCCTTTTATTATTATTTTTATTTTAAAATATTTGGGGTTAAAAGCATATGAATACATTTTATAGGAAATTACTTATGTTAATGGTATAGAACTGCATTGCTTGCTTAACTATGGATTGATCCTATTAAACCTGAACTGGCAGACCTCTTAAGAATAAGGCACTTTTGGGAAGTTCTGTTATCTTTAACTACCTCTCAGCCAGAGGTAAAAACCAAATTATTTTTCAATTTGAGATCAAACCCAAAACTATAGTCTTGAATTCAGATCCAGAGGTGTGATCCTAACCTTCTCTCATCCATCA